CTGTAAAGTTATGACAGCAGCAAGACTTAACTGAAGTCTTTTGTATTAGAGAAGTATTTAGAGAAGATACCACAGAAGCCTGTATCTATGAAAGATCTGTGGTTTTGTTCCTGACATGACTCTACAGACATGCCTGAGCTTAGCAGAGCTCTGTGAGAACAGGAACAGACAGTTCCCTGTGGGCACCTCTGACTAACAATTCAAGTTGTATTCTGGATGGTATATGGAGTTCTGAATTCTGCTCCATTAAAACCAGATGCCTAAGACTGAAGTTTTGTAATGTCTAATCACCTCAATCCTTAATTTGATTTAGGCCTACTAGACTGAACTTCAACAAGGATATTTCAAACAACAAACACTGCAGTCTTTGGTTCGGAATGGAAAGCTCTCCCATGCTTTTTTATGAAACATTTTCTAAGGAGTTCTCAAAAGTCCCAGCCCTGCCTCAGAACCTGATTTCCATAAAACAACTAAAACTGAACAATTTCATCTCAGCTCTAGACCAGTCTAGGTGTCAGAATCTCAGGTTTTCAATTAATAGATTAGAATCTATTAGATTAGATTAATAGAATCTATTAATTAGCTAAAAAAAAAAAAGCCCCAACAAACAACAAGCCCCAAAACCAACAAAACACATACACCACATCCCCTGAACCCAAACCAGTGCATAATACAAGGCGGCAAACAAAACTGGCCATACAAAATGGTAGGCAGCAGTCAAAGCAGAGCAGCAAAACTTGATCCACTGCCTGTGCAAAACTGGTAAGAATTCTTCAGTGAAGGCTGGAGAGAGACACCACCCAGGCAGTGAAAATACAGACAGACTCAAAAAGTCTCCCAAGAAGGCAACCACACTCCTGTTTGTCACATGGAGATCTTTCCAGCTTGCTACTGCCCAAAAGAAAAGAAACAGATAGTGCAAGTTTTTGAGAACAGTAATCCACGCTCTTGCATAGGTCAGTTACTCATATATGTACTCTCATGACCATTAATGAAATATAAATTTCATCAGCACAACTGACTTGCAAACCACATTCAACAACTGCTTACACAAACTTACAGCCATATCTTCTTAACCATGGGAATACCTGATATCTGTCTGTCAACAGGCTGCCCAGGGAGGTTGTGGAATCTCCTTCTTTGGAGACATTCAAAGCCCACCTGGACATGTTCCTGTGTAACCTTATCTAGGTGTTCCTGCTCCGGCAGGGGGATTGGACTAGATGATCTTTTGAGGTCCCTTCCAATCTCTAACATACTGTGATACTGTGATACTGTGAACAGCTTTCTCATTACCCGGGCACATGGCAAATAACCTCAAGACCTGGACTTCGCTGCTGCTTATATTTCAAAGAGCAAAAAGCTATAGATATCTAGCTATACAATGCAGCAATAGGAGGTCTTGTAGGCATATTAAGAAATCCTATCAAGAAATGCTATTTAGCAGGACAACATTCTGATGGCTGACACATCTAGGGAAGGAATCACATGAGGATAATGGTGCTTAATTCATTAAACTTAACTGGGAAATCAACAAGCTAATTTGAGCCTGAGAATTTTAACTTCAGCATGGTTTTCTTGTGCCAAAAGTTACAGATCTACCAAATTGTAAGACAGAAAAATACATGCTTTAGAAAAACAGTTCTTTATGGAAAAACTGTATCAGCAATAAAAGAGAATTAAAAACAGCAGTCAGCAGTTCATCAGATTCAGAAGGAAATAAATGATGGATCAAGGGGAAATGCATGAGATATCAAGTCTCTTGTGTAAAGCTATTCAGAGAAAAAGTGACTACTGTGAAGAAATGAGGGAAGCCATGAAAGCTATTGAACCTTGAGTTGTGAATTAAAGCAACCTGTTTCAATGTTGGTGAGGAGATGGCACAATCAGAAGACAAGAATGGAAGCCTTCCTGGTTTTCTCCCTTTGTGCTAATATTATGTGCTATAATTAATATGTCCTACCATTATTCAGCTAAAGATCTGACACTACCATGTAGAACAATGATTTGAGAAACTCTCTGGATACCTTTAAGAAGTTGCTCGGAAAGTTACCATAATGCAAATGCTTCAGTCACTGCGCATTCAACCCGGGAACTAGGGAAAAATAATATATTAAGCCTTAATAGCTGCCTACTAAATCATAGTGTGGGCCTAATTATTTGTGGATGCAGACCAATCCTGTCCAGTTTACATTAACTGTAGGTGCTACTCCCACACTGACCTCTAGCTTAGTAACAGCTGGCATAACCAAAACTAAGCTGAGCAAACCAGCATGGCCAGGACAGCCTGTGTAGAGCAGGCCTAATGCAGATAAAACATGGAACAACCTTCCCTCCCTCCCTTAAATGTAGAGTGGGAGCTTGTCTTCTCCAGGGGGGAAATTTCCTCAAGACACAAAAAAAAAAAAAAAAAAAAAATGCAGCAGGCTCCAGAGTCATGAATTCATTTGTAGCTCCCCGAAAGTTGTGACTTTAGCAGATGACCAGCCAAACCAAGAGAGGAAGAGGAGCATGAAGGACCCTGTGCTTTTTTAGGCAGCCCATGGACAGCACGAAAAGCTTGGTCATTTTTAGAGGCTACAGCTATAGTCTAAATAAATAGTTTAAGACAAAAATGCACTGTCACCACTGTAAGAGTCAAAGCTGATAAATGCATGTTCAGTTCTTTCTCAAGTTATTAGCAAGAGAACAATAGTGTTGCAGCTGTGTGATAGATCTGAACCTCAGTAGTGAACAATTTTAGCATCATGTTAAATAATAACCAACATTCCACGTGGTTTTAGAATATTTAAGTTTTAAAAATACTGCACTGTTAGGGACAAGCCACTGTACCTATGAAGAACTGTGGGCTACAGATACTATTTGAACCACAGTAATGGAGTAGAATTCCAACTCCAAACATAAGGCAATACTTGATAGATGTTTAGTGCTCCAAGTCTTGAGATCTTATGGCTGAACCCAACAGAGCACTTCAGTAAGCACTCAGCTCAGAAAACTGGGCCCGGTTTGTGGCAGAGGCTAAAGACTTCACCATTTCCTAGGCTCTTTGACCCAGCATTGTGTTCAGCCATCTTCCCTTTTTTAAATTGTAAGTATGTCAGATTTTAAGCAAACTGTTACCCTACATAGAGTTTGTGCAACACAATCAAAACCTCACATCAGCACTGGACAGGTTACTTACGCAGAGTAAATATGGTTTAGTGATTGGAACCCAATCCTGGAAGTAGCAGCAGGTTTTTTTTTCTTATTGGACTTAGAGCTTTCCTTCAAGGAAAAGTGATTCTGGTTAAAACCCAGTATTGACCCAACCTCCCCCAAATATACCTTTAAGCACTTGTGAAGCTTTTAGCATGAGACTGCTGAGTTTAAGGCTCTCAAGTCTATTCAATTCTATGCAAGGGGATAAATGTTGTCTCAAATGAATATGCTTCATCAACTATCAAAAGCAGCTTTGCATGGGTGAAACTCCATTCTCTCCCTACACTCTTTCCCCGTTCCATTTCAAAGATGCTTCACAGTACACTGCATGCCAATAAAATACTTCCATTCAGGAATACTGCTAAATGTGAACTGGAACGTCTGCCATGTGTCCTGAAGCAGCTTGGGATTGCCATCAACCAAGTACTTAGAAGTGTGATTACTACCACTTGAGGAAGGCCAGTGTGAAAGTTGATCCCTATGGAGTTAATTCAGGGTAAGTCACCTACTCATGCTTGCTTCTGAAACTTCTATCATCTTATTTTTTCCATTTGTACAGCAGCTAGTAAAGTAGCATCTTACTTACAAATATTCTGTAATAGAAATCCAGACACCTGTTAACCCATTCTATTGCACATTTAGCAGAAGACATGTTAAAAATCTGTCTGAAAAATGTAGTCTTTCTTTATGAAAACTTCTCGGAAAAGAATTTCAGTGGCCAGACCCTTGCTAAGACTGTCAGTCATCCCCACCCAAACCCATGCTGTGCCACTGTGTTACTGTCATAGACAGGAAAAATTATGAATGCACATTCTGCAAATCATCATCAGAAGTAACAGCAGTAATTTTTAACTTCTTTTGTCCTTTGCTTTTTCTTTTTTATTATCTCTGGATTATCTCTGACTGCTGCAACAGCCATTTGGGTTATCTGAAACCCTGAAGCTGGAAACAGCTTCCAACCATATTTCAATATTCAATTAAAAGTTTTGCAATAGCAGTATGGGCACCAGCACAGCAGATTTAAGCTTCTGGCTGGCTTTTCCTCGTTGCTTTCACTTATCCCTTCTAACGAGTTCAAATTGTTCCCACAGCTCGCAGACCAGAAGCTGAAAACTACTGACACAGGGAAAGCCTCAATCTTAATCTTTGCCAGAAAATCGGCGAGAAGGGGGAGATAGTTCAATCAAGGTTTTAGGAAGGTTTTAGAAGATCTTTGGGTCTACGCTAGTAACAAAGTGCAAAGCAGCTATTTCTTGTTACTACAAGAATTCCCGGACAGTCGCTCTGACCTAAACTGACAGCCTGCAGCTTTAGTAAGAGGGTTGCAGTGTCCAGACAAGGAAATGAATGGTCTCTCAACCTCCTCTAGTTTCTCCTTTCGCTTTTTAATTACAAGCTACAGGGTGCTTTGCCCGTATGTGACAGTTACCGGCAGCCCGGGGCCGTTTGCTGCCCGGCAGCCTCCGAGTTGCCAGGAGCGCGGTAAGGAGGAGGCGCAGACCAGCCCGGCTGCCCTGCAAGGCGCCGGGGCGAGCACCAACTACAAGCGCCTTCCAAACCGCTCCTGCCGCTACGGAGCTCCGGCCGGCAGCAGGGCGCCGGGAGAGGGGCGAAGGAAGCAGAAAGGCACGGTGAGAGGCGTGAAGCACAGTGAGAGACCCCCTTCCCCAAGGCCAGCCCCCAGCCCCGGGTGACCGCAGGCACCCGGAGAGCGCGACCACAACCCGGGGCTCCTCTCGCTGAGGCTCGACCCCTGAGGAGAGATCCCTTAGGGACAGACCAGCCCCGCATGACGCGCTCACCTCCACCAGCCCGGCCGCGCTCCGCTCACCTCCAGGAGCTGCCTCCTTCCAGCCCAGGGGCGAGTCGCCCTCGAGGCACGCGAACACCGCCCCCCCTCCGCGCCCAAGGTGAGCGCAGGGATACGGGGCAGGCGGTGCCTGGCCCGCGTCCCGGCCCCCGCCTCCTCCCCTGTCGGCTGCAGGCGAGCGCGGGCGCGGCTGGGACTCGTAGTCCCCCCTCCGAGCTCCCGCCGGGTGCTCACCGGCCTCTGCCTACAAGTCCCAGAATGCCGCGGGGCCGCGCGTGCGGCGCGCGTGTGCGCGGGTGTGGGGTGCGCCCCCGCCCGGCGGCGCAGTTGGGACCGTTACCTCAGCCGTGGGGCTGAGGCGTGAGCTTCGGCCTTCTCTCCGGTGTGGACACACGCTGCCTAACTGCATCCAGCTATAGTTCCTTTCTAGTTTAAATATAAAAATACAGCCGGGAATAGGCACTGGGTAGAAGTGAGATAGTGGCCTCGTTGATTTTGTTGCACTCGTGTGTGTGGTGCTGGGGTGCACTGAGGTGTTGGTTAAATAAACCCCATTTGGGTTGTCTCGAAATTCCAGTGAAGGAGCCTCAAGATTTATTGTCTAAAACTAGTTTAGAAAAGCAGACGTTAGTGCTCTGTCCTTTCAGAAATGCAGGACATACACCAGCCATCCAGCATGTGCCAGTTATATGAATTAATGTAAAAATACAATGTGGAGGACTTCATGCTGATTGAATGCTTCAGGAGACTTACAGTTATTTTTCTTCTTTTTCAATGAGGAGCGTATTTTTCCCAGTTCTGCCGTCTTAAGAAGCACACTTGTTAGCTTGGGCCTCTGGGTGGTTGGTCTCACAAGTGACTGAATGTCTTTAGCTGCCAAGGGTGCCTAGGTATCAGTTTCCTTATGAATACATAAGAATTAGTAGTGAAATAGCGGGAGGCATCCCTGCCCATGGCAGGGGCGTTGGAACTTGATGATCTTAAGGTCCCTTCCAAGCCAAACCATTCTATGATTCTATTCTATACTTTCAGAGATCTCATCTTTCAGTCCTTGATTTATAAATGTTTTCCAGCCACTTGCAATCACTTTCTCTTGCCCAGGAGAAAATGTTTTCCCACCACTCAGATTCTTAGAGATTTAGTTTTGTATCTAGAGCTGGTAGGAAAATAAATTTGGAATTCTTACACACTGAGACCATTTAAAACAAAAGTTGTGAAACTGGTGCCTACAGGAATGTATTATTTTGAAAACCTTAAAATGATTCCTTGCCATATTTAGCCCTTGTTAGAGTTTGAGTAGCTTGAATAAGATTTAAATTAATTCAGGCTGAAATAAGGTACTTTTAAATATCAGTATTGTCAAATTGAGAAATTTCAAGGTCAAAACATTTCAAAAGTTGCATTTTAAAGAGGTTTGTTGTAGCCAGTTTTATCCAAACTAGGTTGTAACAAAAAGGCATTTTGATGAACAATTTCAGAGTGGTATATTAGACATGCCTCATACATCAGACCTGATGTGGAATGGTGCTGGATGCCATTGTTACACAGAACTGGGTAAATAGAGATACTTTGGGAAAGGTTTCTTTCCTGATTCGTATTTATTTATTCAATAAACTATTTTTTTTTCTGAACTTAGGTGTCTGTAGCTTGTGTTTGAATGACGGTGTAATTACCTTATGGAGGTGTGGTGTCACCACTTCAAATCTGAAATGCTTTATTACCAATCAAGCATATATTGCCATGGCATACCGCAGACAGACCTGTGCTTGTACACCCCTGCACAAAGAGGAGAGCGAGGAGAAAGCCTGAACCAAACATGGGAACAGCAGATTTCCTGCTAGAAAACTCCACAAAAGTATCAATCATTCTGAATGTTACAGAAATGCCCCACTTCAGATTATGTTACACTGATTGTCTCAATGGTATTTACAATCTGGTTTTAATTTCTTATGTGCATTTTAAGAGTGACGCATTGGGAAGGTTCTTTTTACTGCTTCTTTCCAGCATTGTTTAGAATGGTACAAGATGCTTCAGTTCTTTAGCTCTGAGAGAAGGGCAGGGGTTAATAATAGTGCTGCATTCTGTAGGAGCAAGATGAAAAGAGGATTTTTGGGCAGAACAAAAAAATAGGAGGGGAAGTTTATACAGAATAAACAATATGGACAACTGGAGAAAGTGAAAAACCTCCTGTGAAGGATAATTGGGGGGAAATTAGTTAATGGCATCCACACCCTGGAGCTGTGTGATGACAGAGGTCCCAGTGTGAGCTCTGAGGGCTCCTCTGGCTCAAAGGGGGTGGAGCAGCAGGAGTCATTGCTCTCTAGCAGCCTAAGGAAAGCTATGAGCCACTGAAAAAGACCAGACTGAGCTCTCACAGCTGCTTAGAGCTCTTGAGCTCGGGCTGTTTAGTTCTCAGCTTCCTCAAACAACCACTGATAGTGTGGGCACAGGAGTTAGATGAGGGGCTGGAGAGTGCAGAGACTTTTGATGCTTCTGGTTGTCCCATCGGCATGGATATCCCATATGGAACAAACTGGGTCAGATGGGCTTCATCAACTGGTCACTCCCAGCTACTCCCTAACTACACTCAGAGTTCTTCTATTAATGAGACAACTTTCCAAGACAGAAAAAAACCTGTTTATGTTTGACTATGGAGTCTTATGCAGGTCCTAGGACAGGTTAAATCGTCTTTATTAGTGAAACTGAGGTGGACGTTTTCAGATAGAAATGAAATGTGTTTAGATTTACAGGGATTTCAGTGGCAGCTGGCTTGGTTCTCAAAGTGCTCCTGTTAAATAGTTCAGTTACTACCCACATCTTATGCAGATACATTAGTCATGTCAAGCTTTGCTATTACCCATAATTACACAATTATTCTAGCAGAGGCCCAACCACCAGAACATTTTCCTTTTCACCGTGCCAAGTTCCTTGAAAGTGGCTGACCTCAAATCCTTTAAAATGTCCCTTGAGAAGTGTGTGACTTTAAATTAGCTAAGTTGGGTGTGCAGTCGTGAATATAAACCAGTTGAATGGCTTTGCATGTGCTGTTTCTGGCACATCTGGAGCAATATATCAGCAGAAGGCTGGCATGTATGTGCTCAGTCAGTGTGCAGGGAAGGAAGGACCTGGGTCTATCAGCCAGCTCTCATAGTATCAATCATAGCATCCTAATACAGAAACAGCCCTGAAATCTGTGGCTGCCCAGTACGTCCCAGACCAGCACAGCTCAAAAGCACAATCACATCCTCTTCCCCACTCCCCCACAAAGAAGCTTAACAAATTTGTTTTCTTTAAAAAGAAGTACACCTTAAAACTATAAACTCAGCATCTATCAGCACCCTCCAGTACAGTGTTTTCCATTCCTGGAATACCATTTTTACTGGGCCCCTCCTTGCTGGGTGCTGGCTCAAACTCTCCCCATTAGGCTCTGATAATGAGCCATGCATCGGTCTAAGTTCTTTGGCTTGCTGCCTGGTTGGTTCTTTCAGCTGAACCAAGAAGAACATGAGGAAGACAAAGCAACAGTCATAAAACATCAGTAACACAGGAGAACACTAGGTAGTTCATCCATGTGCCACCTGTATGACTTTTGCAGCCTCATACCTCACAGTCATTTCTTCCAGCAGCAGATCCACCACCTTCAGACCTTCAGATGGTTGATGTTCTGTATGCTCCTTCACAGCAGATGTGCTGCAAATGATTGCATGGTCTCAGCTGCTTCAGATTGCTAACAGCCCTTGAAAAGCTCTTTAGGGCCATGCTTAAAGTAGGCAAATCTTTTTGCTGATCTTGTTTGGTTTTGAGGCTCTCTCACCAGCTCAGGATTAAGGTTGCTCACCTCTACAGTTTGTTTCTGCTACTCCAGTGTCAGGTCATGTTTAATAAAGCCTTGCTACAGAGGTGAATGGAGTAGGGTTTATCTGCTGTACCTACCTGCTTGTGCATGGCCCTTTCTGCATCTGTCAGCAGGACTTTCAGAACCTTGCACTGGCTACCAGCTTGGATAATAACCAAACCCCATTCCCACTGATGGATAAATGATGAAGTGATGCTCTGGAAGCATTTCCGCCAAATGACATTTGCCCTGAAGGGTTAGCAAGGAAATAAACCATAGATCCATGTTTATGGATGCTGTAAGTGCCTTTCCAAATATTTTCCCTTCCAGACTAAACAAACCATCATAAGCTCATGGTTTCAAGGGTCTTGTTTCTGCTGCTGTAATGTGCAATTTCTCTAACTTGTTTACATCTGTGTATAAGTGGAAAGCTCAGCAGCTGACAACTGCTTTCTACTTTACCAGGACTGGCAGCTGTATATATATATATGTATTTGTAGATATCTATCATGTGTTTTACCATAAATATTTCTTGACAAAATGGAGAATGGCATTTTTTTAAACTGCTTTGTGCTACTGTTTTTCCTACCATAGTTTTGCTGCCTAGCCAGATATTTATGCACTTTGTATGCTGGGTAGTTGAGGTCACTTACAAGAACCAGGTTCTGTTGACCCAAAGATTGCTTAAGTGAACTAAATATTGCTTCGTTGGCTTTATTGTCTTGGTTTGGATGTCAGTAGCAGATGCCTGCTGCAAGATCCTCCTTGGAGATGACCCCTTTCATCTTGACCCAGAAGCATTTGATAGAGCTTCCACAATCACCATACTTGACTTCTGTACATTCAAGGTTTTCGTTAGCATAGAGCACAATTCCTTTTCTGCCTGGCTTTCTGAAACAACCTATAGCTATCCATCACAATCTTCCAGTCATGTGAGTTGCCCCATCATGTTTCAGTTATTTTTATGATATAATAACTTTCTGACTGGGCACAGGGCTCCTGTTTGTACTCCAGGCTGTGTGCTTTGGTATACATAAACTTGAGGTGGTTGATCTTCTGGTTCTCATCTTAGGAGGCAGATAAGTAACATTTGTCCCTGCTCTGGTTGGCATACTTATTCCTCATTTGGTTGCAATGGCATGAGCATTGCTGCTTTGGACCCCGGCCCCTGAGTCCTTCAGCTTAAAGCCTGACTCACCAAGTTGGACAGCCTGCTGACAAACATGGATCCTATCCCTCCCTATATATATAGCCTTTTGAAGGCTATAGTCATCAAAGAATGTCCCATTGTTGTAAGTATCAGTTTTCATAGTCATACCTGCCAAAGTTTTGTACCAATAGATAATCTTGTCAGTACATTTTATAGCAGTGCCACTGTGTTATTGCCATCAATTATGTGTGGTGTCACCCTTGCTGTTTTATCAACTATTTAATGGCACATGACTCATTGTTTTCAGTCATGTGGGAGGAAAAATGAAACAGCAGATACACAGCGTGTGACTTATGTGCATGCTACCTGTGAGCTGTAGGAATGGAAAAAAATGTAAGGAAGAACTAAGAACTTCCTGGAATCTGGAAAGAGCGAATGGCAATATCACTTGGGAATCTATCAGTGAGGATGATCTTGAGAAAAGCCTGTGTGCAGTTTGTAGTGAGTTCTAAAGTGCCTCATGGGATTATTCAAAGGAAATAAATACAATTGTGAAAAGCAGCTTCTCTGATGATGCTGGTCTCTTAACTGGAAAGAGAAGTCAGGTTAAGTGCCTCGTTGTATCTAAGTCTTTAAAATACATTAATTCCCTAGCAACACACTAGCTGCATGCACATTTTAGATTGAAATATCACCCCTCTATTGACATATTAGGGCAAATAAAATTATCTTTAAAAATAGGAGTGTTTATATCTTGCATTTTTGTTTGTTCAGTGGGCAAAACTTTTATTACAGTGTTTTAAAACCTCTTGCCCAAACATTAAGCTATTATATTCTTTAATAACCTCTGTGTTTTATTTTTTTCCCTTCCTGCTCTTTCCTTGAATAGGTCCTTTATCTTGTTTCAAAGATTGAAAGCACACACATGGTTCTCCATAACAGTATGGGGAGTTTGCAGCTGCAGGAGGCTGGGCGGTTGCAGTAAGTTTCCAGGTGTGTCAAAGGTCTGTTGCATAATTCTGACCAAGCCAAGGTTTTGACTTGTTGGTCACTGAATGACCTCCTTTTTTCCTGCACTGCTCAGATACCTTTGGTCAGAAGCCTCCTAAACACATTTTAGGTGGCCAAGCATGGATGTGTTACAAACACCATTCTGGTTTAGACCAGTATGGTGCCATAAACAGATATGCATAAGAGCAGAGCAGGTATATATGATGCTTCTCTCTGATGAGGAGCTGCTCAGGGAATTGGGGTTGTTCAGCCTGAAGGATGCTCAGGGGAGACTTTATCTACAGCTGCCTGAGAGGAGGTTGTAGCAAGAGGGGTCAGTCTGTTCTCCCAGGTTGCGCCACAGAAGATTTAGATTGCATATTAGGAAAAACTTATTCACCAAAAGGATTTTCAAGCACTGGAAGGGGCTGCCCAGGAAGTAGTTGAGTCATCATCCCTGGAGGTATTTAAGAGATATGTAGATGTGCTTAGGGGCACGGTTTAGTGGTGGACTTGGCAGCTCTGGGGTAACAGGTGGGCTCCATGATCTTCAGGGTCTTTTCCAACCTGAATGATTCTATGATCCTAAGAATTAACAACTTTATTTTGAACAGGGTTCTTTATCTGCTGCACTGTACTCCTCAGAGCTTTGAAATGCTTATTTGCACATTGCATATTGGGTTTGAAAGTATGGACAAGTGTGTATTGGTCCATAGTCCCATTTTATTCCTTGCACAAGGACCTGTTCTGATGACCATGTTAAGCCCACAGGTGAGACTGGGAAGATCTATTGGTTTATGTTATTTGCAAAGTGCTATTAAGAGTGATCTACTAAATATTAAAAAATACCATAGATGTTTGCATTAAAATCTAGGTATTTAGCAAAATAATTTGGACTATGATTTCATGGCTTGAAAAGTCTAACATCACAATTCTTTGTTGACATTATTTTTATTGAAGCATGGATCTTTAGATTGATTCACCATAAAGTGAAGCATTTTATTTATGCTAATAGACAGTTTAGGGCTATAGGGGCATTATAACGTTGCTGGTGTAGATACAACTTTATCAGAAGATACAAACATGACCCGCAATAGAAACAAACACCAAAGAGAACACGATGAAACGTTCACTGTTTACAAATCACTTCATTACTACAGACACCAAATGGCAGTTACTGTAAGTAAATCAGTTGCAGAGAACTGACTACATTTAGATAGGGAATTGGGAACTTCTGTTTGGGGCTTCCTCCACAGCTCCTTAGTAGAAAAAAAGTTTAATGTCAAGCATTCTTTTTTTATCCACAAAACAATGCTAACCCACAGACATATTAAAGAATAAGACTGAAGGATATCAGTGCCTTTACAACTACCTTTGCAGTCATCTTCTGGATTAGGTACTTTGAATTTTTCTTTTTAATACATTTTGTTGTAAGGTAAATAGCCCAAAAAATCAGCAGCAAAAGTATTACAACAACAAAAGTAAATACAGTGCCAATGTGTCATGTTGTAGGAGATAATACAGAGAGGACAAACAATGATAACTTAATCATATAAAATGACAGAGCTGAAATACAGTGCACTTAAATACCTATGTGACAAAGAATGTTAAATTCTGTACTTAGTATGTAGGGTTTTTAAAACATAAAATCTGAAAAGTCTTTGTGCTTAAACTTTTTTTTTTCCTGTTAAACAGAATTAGTTGCTTACTTCCAATACTGCCACTGTAACTGATATTACAACAGATCACAATTTTCACAGACACATCAACATTAAAACATTTACCTATGAGAAAATAAGTCACTTCTCATTAGTTCACAGTGCGAAAAAGTGGTGTGCACTCTGTCTTGAGAATGGCTTTCAGTTATTCATCCAGCCAGTTGCAGAAAAGTCCTGATACCAGACGCAGTGCTAGATTTAAAGAATGGAAAGCAACACATCACATGTTGGGAGGAAAAAAAATAAATTTCTCGTTTCTTCATGGATATCGTCTAAGTGACCTTCGTCTTCTGTTGTAGAAATGCCTGAGCCCATGTTGCCGTGAAAAATTCATCATGTAATTTTGTTTGCGAGTGCTGTTAAAATCAAAGGGCAGGGGAAGAGAAGAGTGTCAGTGTCTTTGATATGTACTTTAAATTCTTTTGAAGCAGTGAGCTAGTGGGGCAGATTGTTCTTTGTCCTTGCATGACCTTTCAGGCCCGTGTCCAGTAGCATGAAAAGCACCATTTATACAACAGCGAGGTACAAGGCAATTGAGAATCTGTCCCACTTGGTTTTTATTTACAATTCATAATTTTAGAGAAAGTTTAAGAGGTTTCAGCTAATGAATATTTGCGCCGCCTAGGGCCAGATTCACTAAAGCTATATGCACTTCATTCAATACATGGCATTTCTCCACAATGGTTTTATATTCCAGTTATCCTTTTGTCTTCTGCCATTAACTGCTTTATCTTGAGAACCGAAGAAAAGCTTTACTCCATCATTATCTTCTACTTTTACCATATAGGAAGTGAAGTACAACACTTTTATACAGATTTAATGATTCCCTCCTTTATACAACCCCACCCAAAATTAAAGGAAGATCTCAGAAATAAGCATCATCATGTCTGGAAGGAGACCAGGCAAGAGAGCCTGACTGCAGTCTAGCTGAAGAAGGAATATTGGTTCAGAAGACCTACCTAAAGGACTGTCCTGAGTGGCTTCAACCACAACAAGGACAAGACCCATCACACATAACATAGGTTTCTACTCCCATTGAGGGAAGAAAGAACTGTGATGGCAGTGGCAGACTACATGGCTATCTGCGACTTTGGTACCTGAAACCCACCTAACTGGCTTTAGTTTCCAAATTCCTACAGCTTTGGAAATGGAGTTACAGTGTCTGTGATGCATCCTTGTGAGTCAACTTATAGCCTAGACATACACCTTGGAGAGAACTGCATGTGCAGCACCACACATCCCATTGTGCAGATCCTCTACATCCCCCTGCCTCTGTTGTGGCAGGAAACAGGAGAACAGCCACAGAGCTTCATCTGGCCATGATTTGTCTATGATTTTCTTGACTTGTCTATATACCTACCCAAAACACTAGTACATGCACACAAATACAGGCCTACAGAGATCTACAGCCAAACTGCATTCAGAATTACATGAGAATGAAAAGGTTTGTGTATGCTGAATTTCTGATAAAGGATGTCTCCTCTCAGACCTGCAACTTGCAGTGCACTTGGCCAGATGTGTTAAGCAGCTGAGATGTTGCTGTGAGAGGCAGTGACTTGTGAACTATGCACTGCAGAGTCCCAGGGCACGAGAAAGACCTTTTGACAATGGAACTGCCTTTAGAAATAAAAACAGTATCACATACTGCTGCTAGAGCCACCTAACCCCCTTTCTCTACATGAAAACCAGCATATGAGATACTCCCATAGATGCACTCAGAGGATGCAGCTTCTTTAAGAGATCAGAGCAGAGACCATGCAGACCCCAAGGACAATTCCATCGGGTGTAAGGAGCTTCTCCCAAGAGGAACTGCTGGTGACTGCTGGCCAAACTTTCTTTGGGTTTCCAGTGAAAAGGAGCTGAAAAACTGTAGTGAATCTGTGCAGTCTTAGATTAATTCCTGCTTTGTCATAATCCTCCCTACCTACCTAGGACCTTGTGCTTTCTATGTCTGTCTTGCAGTGGGAGAAGAATGCCTGGCCTAATCCTCTGTCCCCCAAAGGACTGGATGGTACCAGAACCCTCCAAACCAAAAAGTCCGTAAGATTTTAAAGTAAAGGCCTGGAGTAGACACTGCACTGAACAAATCTCCCACTGAAACCAGGGCAGGTTTTCACTTGTGAGTGTTCTCTGTGGGTAAGAAGTTAAATACTCATACCAGTCATACTTTCCTCTCTAGTGCATAAGCCTACTTTTAGTGAATGTGGCCCTTAGGAAAAAAGGATAATTGCATGCTTTACAAAATACATATGATCCTGCAAAGCTGTCTTGTGCTGCAGTATACTAATTTAATCTAAAAAAATCTGTATAACAAAATTATACACTTTTCAACAGCTAATCTAGAACACAGTTGACTAAACTGAATAAAAGCAGCTGTGTCAAAATCTAAAGTATAAGCCCCTAAGGAAATCCAAGTTGCTTCCCAACTGATTTTCCAAGGCTTTGCAAATTTTTAATAATTTTGGGTTTTTTGGCCACTGGAATGTACATACAAGAATGAAACAAAGACCAGCTCCTGGTGACAGCAAAAGCAAGCAGATCTACACTCAGCATGACTTTTAGCACTCTCACAGGAAAGCACAGCTCTAGAGCGTTTGGCAATTGAGAGAGGAGTTAATGTTTTAGGCTGAGTTGTCCTGAGTTTCACCTGACTTCTTCAAGTGAGGAGGATTTGTGAGAGTTTTGTGTGAGACAGGTTTATGTAGTTTTAATGCCACTTGGTAGCTCAGGTGCAAAGAAGCATTGAAAACCAGTCTTTATTCTGGTCTTGCAGTCACCTCAGAGGAACATCACACTCATTCCAGTGCTGAGTGCCTCACTGAGGAAGGCAGGAGGGAAATCATGACCCTGAACCTGCTTTTGAATATGGCTGCCATTGGTCATGAGGTTTGAAGGAGGTCTTAATCTTGCCTTCCCTTTAATTCCCATTGCCTGGTAGGTGGGTGGGTTCTTAGACACAGGGCCTTCAAGGTGACAGCCCACCTCTCAGGAGAGCACCCTAACTGTGAAGTGAGGATGAAGCACCTATCTGCTGGGAGAAGGCTGCTCTGGAGTTGAAATACAGGAGACGGGGACATGGGAGAAAGCACAGCCTAAGACTGAGTGGCCTTGCTCTAGGTAAATGGGACCAATCAGAGCCTGTCAATGTGTTTGGATGAAAAAAATGCTGTTTCTGGACCTAGTTAAATTTAGGACTGAGCTTGGCTGCAAAAGCCTCAGGTGAGGCAAGGCTTGGACGGCCAGGGCACATGCTGAGCTACAGTTCATGGCTCAGGGGCCTTCGCATTCCTGCATTTCCCTCCTGCCTTTGATCTGCTCACATTCAGCAACATGTCAGCAGAGGTTTTCAGGGCTCCTTTTGGACACTGCTAGGTGCATCTTGCCTCCATTTCACTTCAAACACCTAACTATTTTGTATCTGGCCTTAAAGTTATGATGAAGATGTTTAAAATAATGAACAAAGGGGGGGGGGGAAACGCAAACAAAAAAACAAAACCAAAAAGGAAAAGAAAGAATTGAATAAAGGAATAAAAAAGGGGTTACCTAATGACTTAAAAGAGATTTGCTTATTATTATATATATCATTCTGATTTGTTATTTTATATGATCAACAAGTTACAAAGAAACATTTCTCACACTGACCACCAGAGCAGTGCAGTGTATGAAAAATAAGAGAAATCTGAATTCTCAAGAACCTATTTTTTTAACTTCCATTGACATGGTTAAATTTGTCCCCACCAACGTCTGAGATAGATTTTCCGACTACTGGAATGCCACATATAAGCTTCATGCTTGCAATAGAAAACGGTATGACTTTCACTCTTGCTATAGGTAAGTATGTATACCCTATATATTATAGTATCATACTGTATAGTATGTACAGTCTGGTATTCACAAAATCACAGAAAGTATATATTTATGTTTCTGAATTATTTTTATATATTGATAGGAGGCAACCACTGTATAAGACAGACTAACAGTGCTTTATAAAGTCATGATAAGAAATATATACTGTAGTTTGCAGGAGTACTTACGCATGGCTTCATTTGGTAGATTTAAGAATGCTTTCAATACTATTAATAACAAATCTAATTTGTATTTTCACAGACTGATAAAAGGCTTTACCATGCTTTTGCTACTGTTTTCTTTTTTTGATTTTTTTTACATAGAACATGGCCAAATTGAATGAAAAATAAGTGGTAAAAAAACCCAGTATAAAAGTGTTTTTAGTTTTAATTGACAGGGCACAATAGGAACCAAATAGAAACAAAAATATTTGTATAACAAGATGAAACATGAGCAAAGCCTTAGAAAACAGCAAAAGCTGCCTTTTGGGACTAGCATTGGGGTAAGTAAGTTTTGAGGCTGAATTACAAATGCTTGCTTTGTCAGGGGGATACTATAATGATAAATGTCATGTGCTGTCACTGAAGTCCTGATGGCTCATATCAATGAGAAATGTTCTTTGGCTCTGGTGAGGTCAAGAGTTAAATCCAGAGCTCAGTAACTATGTTGATTAGTGGTACCTATTAACTACAACAATACAAAGCAGCAGAGTTATAAGAAACTAGAAAGATTAAAAGAAAAACTACCGGGAAGACACTGTGTGTCTAATGAGCTATGCCACCATGCTGGTTCACTGACATACACTACCTGGCTCTGGCTTCAGCTCTGTCATCATTAAAAAAGTGGGAATTTCCCGTTGGAACTAAGAGGTCACCCATGCAATGCACTAGGTGCCTTCCATTGGGTCTTGCTGCACTGCAGGAGAAGGAGAAATCCTTCTCACTGCAACCTCAGTGAAATTCCCACTGTGGTATGGGGTAATCTGCTGAACATCTTCTGCTGAGTTTAACTTCCCTCAGTGCTCCCTTGGGAAGAGCTGCAGGATCAGGGCCCTCAAGAGCTACGTGGCACATCTCAGTACAAATGATTTTCCACCAACCAATTATTGACAAAATTTTGTGAAAGAGCTGTAGCTGTAACAGAAACATACATTTGCTATTGATTCAGGGAAAGTACTTACCTTATTCTAGTGTAAAACCAATGACAGCAAACAATGAAATACAACACAAGTTAGAATATGCCTTTCAATGCATGCAGCACTGTGATTAGTCATAAAACCCTGATGAGGTTTAGAGGCAATATACGACTTTTCATCTCTTTTGAAAATAAAAATTGAACAAATTATTTCCTGATATTTCAAATCAATGTTATATATATATATATATTTTAATAAAATTCAGCATGCACTTTTTAGATATAATAAAAACATCATAAAAGCACAGACAGCATCATATTAAATTTGGCATAAATGTAAATATTCAGATCATTACCTAATGTTTGTACTGTTTCTGTTGTTTATCATAACTGTGTTGATACTTAAATTTAAATGCATTTTTCCAATCATTACTTTTTACTGAAACAATGAAGCAGATGAAAATGCTTTTCTACATGAGCACTTATTGTTAGAACTAGAATGTATAATTTGTATTTTAATGTTGCAAAATAAGAATAATATTCTTTGTACCAACTGCAGCATAATTTCTCACTAAATCATTTGTGCCAAAAAAGTGGTAATATCTTGACAATGAAGAGCATGGAGTGATGGCTATGGAAGGATTTGTTCTGTTATGCAACAGTTAACCATAAAGTAAGTAGGTGGGGAGAATATTTCTTGCATTCCTTGCAGAACTCAAATTCCTTTGGATTGCAGAATGAGTTTTGGGGTGCAAAGAAAGCAGCACCAGACCCTTAGTATTCAGCTTATCATTACTCCTTAGTTCTCAATACCTTTAACCAGAATTAAGTTTGTGAGAGGTTTGTAAGGGCCTGCCCCATATATGAAGAAATAGCAGCTCCAGATGCACATGCAAAAAAAGTGTGTGGAGTCTGTGCAGCAGACAGGCTGAGAGCTGTGCTTCCAGAGGAAAACAATGTGCAAATGAAATGCAGAGTTCGACATGGCTCTTCTTAGGGCAGAAGTGCAGAGGCACAGGAAACCACGGTTAAGTCTGGGATGAAATACTTTTTTTATCCTAAGAAGAGCCACATGGAAATAGTGAGAGTTGTGCCCAAAGCTTTCTTCATGAACAGAGAGGAAAAATGCTGCACTCTTGAGGAATAATAGGCATTAGCTTTAAAAGGGACTGGAGAACTTGACAGCTAGTATCCTCTCCCCACCACAGGACCAACATCAGCCATTGTTAAAATAAGTAGGCAAGTAGCTAACTTGGCAAGATCAGTTTAATGTATAACATAGTAAAGCAGGTATTGTGTTTCACCTGTTCAAAAGAGGTGCTCAATTTGAGCACCATTTGCAGCTGCATCAGTCTTAATGATACTGCTTTTTAATGAGTCATTCAAATAATTCATTCAAAAGATAAACGATTTTAAGTCATATACAAGACCATCCTTCTTTGGCCTTTCTTATCACTGACAGGTATTTTGCATGCACATATAATTGGCATCTTATTTTTTCCTCCAACAAACTAGTTGTGAGTGAAAGGAAACAAAGAAATTGCACTCTGAAAATGTGTTTGCTGGTGAGAGGATGGTGGTCCTTGACTCAGAAATCAACTGGACTGAGCAGAGTGGCATGACCCTGGCTGTGCATCAGCTGTAAGTGCTGTGTGCACTATGGCTTGGCAGATGGGCCTGTGGCAGAATCAATTTTAAACCTTTGGATTGCTGAGAAGAGTAGAACCATGAATGCAGGTATTCACAGATTTGTCCCTGGGGTCAGCACTGTAAGGAGGGGCAGGAGCATCCCCCATATTGGATGGGAAATAAAATCCCTGGTTGTGCTACATCACTACAGACCAGCTCTCCTTGCTGTCAGGTGCTCTCCCTGCTTGCCCTTTTACTCCAGGCCTTAGTCTGCTCAAGGGTTGCTGTCTCATCGTCTCTTGCCAGTGAGCTGTGTAGGCAAGGTTTCTGTGCGCTTCATTGGAGAATGAAGAATATTAAGAATTAAAGCAAAATCCTATCCATAGTATTCATGGTGTGAATCCCTGGTGCGTGCAGGATCATCCAGGATTAGGGCTAACAGACACTGATCCAGGCTCCCTTCTGTATGCTGGGAAGCACTCCGTGCAGGTGCCCAGGTGGCTTCATCATTTTACAGGTGAAGAAACTCAAGCACTGGGGGGTAAAGTGACCAGGGTGAGGTGGCCAAGTGAAACAGCAGAGCTAAAGGAAAACCCAAATAGGAGTATCTATTGACAAGGAACAGTTGCTTAGAAGGCTTTCAGAAAGCCTTCTAAAGGCTTTATTGAACCCTTGACAGGTTACTTGCAAATAAAATTTAAGAGGCCTACAGAATATTTTGATGAATTAGCTGGTACAGACAGAACTTAAGCAAGACAGAGGGGTCGAAGCCACCTGTCAGGTCTAAGCACATGCCAGCATATGAACCAGATGCACCACAGCAGGTAATTCTGCCTTTTCTGAGAGCAGCATGTCTCAAATGTTGTAGTTAGCAGGGAGCAGAACTCTACATCTGGCCTTTAGGAAATGGGCTGTCATGGCACTACATTTCACAGTACTTGTTACGGGGGAAATCAGTCTGGTCTGTCTTCCTCTGTGGGTTGTACCAGGTGTCACTTGAACAGGGTGGAAACTCTCTGTCTCTAGTCTGATATTTTGGCCAAAATTCAGAAGAGCATTAAAGCTCTTTAACAAGAGATAAAGAAGTGAAGGGAGGAGGCACTGTCTGCACATCTAATTCCTTCTCTAGGTAAGGTGTGATTACTTGCTGTAGCATTTCTATTGCTGTCTGCATTCTAGTATAATATATCTCATATGACTGACTTGTCACCACTCAACTTGTGTGTCTAGTCTACAACCTGCAGATCTCATTGTTAAGGAAGTTCTCCATATTTCAGCCTAAGAATCACTTTTTTAAAGATCTGTCCTATTCCCACTTACACACCCTAATTCAATGCTTGGATTATGCTCTATTTTTTTTCTGACCTGATTTTTTTCCTTTTTATTATATATATATATTTTTTTTTAATTGCAAGGTAGAAGAACATAGGCATGTTTCAGAACTACCAGTTCCCTTTTCCAAGGTTTTCTAAACACTGTGAGCCTCCTGCAGGTTCATACTCTTCCATATCATTCCTAATGCAGCATCTTACAGCCATTGATTAACTAAGCCAGGAATCACATCCGTCCCTCTGTTCCTTCAAGTTTTAAACATAATGTTATGGAAGCAGAGCCCATCAAGGTGTGTGAAAGCAGCAGAACATGTACAATTAACTCAGTGTTGGGGCCAGATTGATTTGGGATTGATATGAGTGCCATGCAAGCTGGTGCATTTCAGTGGAAAGAACAGGGCTAGCTAGCAGTCCACTAATTGACTTTGCTACTGTTACAAAACATTACTTGCAGTGTCTCTGCTATTCAGAAACCTCATGGTTATAATTACACAGTCTGGAGGTCATCCAAAACCAATTTCTTCATTGCTGTTTTTTACATTTTTCAATGAAAGGAGCGTTTGAACCTATCTATGGAGCAGGCACGCCTCTCTCTGCCAACCACTGTCAGCGATGAGTTCCCGCCCAGGAAGCCACTAGCATTTCACTTCTACTGGAACTAAATTGTTAGAGAAAAAGCAGGTCATCTCTTCGTGATGTAACACAGGAAAAACGGGTTAGCTGCCAGCGAAACCCATCTCAAGAATGGGAGAATCAGGAGGGTGCAGACACTTGGTCAAATCTTGACAAGGGGATGAATATAGAGCTCGGACCATAGGAACCTGATATAGTGAACCCTGTTTCTGAACAGTATCCTTCTTACTAAAAAAAGGAAATGAATAAGGCATTAGTTGCTAACGCAGATTTTTCAGAGGCACAACAACATTACTTTGTGCAAAGAGCAATACAGCAGACTCTTTTGTATCTTTGAAAGGATATAAGTCAGCCTTACATGGCAGCACAGGGTTGAATGGGAACATCCTTTCTTATGTCCCAGCACAGTATTTTTTTCATAGTCATTGCTGGTATTACGCGACCACACCAATACTTGGTTGTGATAAAGCCCCACTTTCCCTCCTGCATTTTTCCATGATGCGCAACACCCCTGCTGTGGCACTTATTTCATGGCCATCTTAACCACTGACAGTTACAGTCAGGGCAGAGTATTAGCAAAGACTGATTCTTAAAGCATTCCCTGGCCCACAACAATTCTTACTGAGTTTAACACTCATGGCATGCTAGAGGAATTTCAGTGCTTTCTAAGATGGGGTGGGATGAGGTGAAGCTGATACTCACAGGACGACTTCTACGTGGTCCAAAGCCCACTGATCATGACCTGTTCCATTGTGACGGGGCTGCCACCAGCGCAGTAAGACTCCCTTCATTCGTGCCTCCCTGTCATCACAAACACAAGAGCCTGTGAGAGCTCCAGACTATTGGTGTTTTGCATATCCCTATTTAACCCCCAACAGAACTGAGAGCAAAGTTAAAGCATTATTCTACACCACTGAATATCAACACACTGTACAGGCAAAACATGCAAAACAATGCTGAAAAATGCACAGAAAGAAGGATTATTTTTTATCATATCTTTAAAACAAGCAACCTGTTTTTCTTTCAAGTATATTGATAAACATTAGGCTGGAATTTCTTAATCAGCTTTCCCCTTAAGTTTTCTTCTTTGTTTACCCTCTCATCAGACTTCTTACTTGCACAGTGATGCAAAAATAGATTCTTAGTAGAAATATATCTTCTCCCCTTAAAGGTAATGAAATGTGACTGGGTACTCACAGGGGAACATTATAAGACACTCTTTGGGCTTGTATAAAGTCCTTTGGCTGATGCTGTGCAATTACTTGCCATGTAATTCCATTATTTACACTGTACTGGAGGAGCACTGCCTTGTCTACAGTGTTGGGATCACTCAGATTGGTATTGCAACTGTCTGTTTGTGAAATGCTTCCAATTTGCAAAACAAACATGATTTTGCTGTAAAACACAGAAAAGGTATTTTCAATATACAAAAAACCCCTTCAAACTGGAAAAATAGCATTTCCAGGTTTATTGCAGTTACCTTATTAAAACTTTGAGCATCCTCAAGAATCATTACTTTTAACATGCAAAATAAACTGTTCTCAACATCTCTAAAACACAGTTTCCCTTCCAAAGTAATAGTTTACTATGTATAACATTGCCATAGAATTTGAGGTAATAGATCCAATTTTACAATGTATCCACACAAAACTGAGATAGATAAACAACATAAACATGCAAACGAGTGTATAAAACAATAAACAAAAAAAGGGGGGCAAATAAAGGTTGGCTATAATAAAGTGTCAAAAAGATAAGTGGGTGTTCAAATAAGAAAGGAAGAGCCTAATTTACATCTGTCCCATTTGCCAGTTCATCTTGTTTCTAATCTTCCTTTAGACAGCTAAATACAAACCAGTCCAGAAAGCTGTCACTCTGTTAAGAGCCAGCACAGACTGGTTGCATTTGGTTTTCCATGGCCAAACAGGCTCAACAGATGAAAAAGATACTCCTGTTTATTGCCAGGTGAGTGTAATTCTATTTGACAACTGAAACAGGAAAATGAGTCTGTGATTACTAATGGCATCTTTAGTCATAACTGTCATGGAGGCACATGCAGACATGGGATTTGTCTTATCAGATCAGGCACTGGCCCAGACAGTCTGGTGTCCAGTCTTTGCCAATGGATTCATTGTCAGTGCTGGCTTACTAGAGAGTGCTCTGTTGGGCATGACAAAAACATCTGACCTTTTCATCTGACATTGCTTCCTTCTCACTCTCCATCTCCCAGATGGAAGTCACAAAGCATTATGCCAGCCCTAATGTTTATCTGCCAGCCACATCTGACTGCATGGTTCAGCTGGGTCAGTCCATCCTCATCAGTACTGGCCTACATTGCTGCACAAATATATGAAGAGTTTCCTTTCTCATGAGCTGCTAAAAGAGCTTTTTAGGCTCAAAGTATTACCTTGCTCGGGTGAGATCCAGAGGCTTAGTCACTGCTTGTCGTATTTGACATCCATTAAAATAGAGTGAATCTCCGTGGGCATAGGGTGCCAGCTGTCCGCAACCATTCCCTATCACTCCCCCCTGAATAGTTTCCCAGTTTATTTCAGTGACTCTTTCAGATTCAAAATTATCTTTAATATAGCTGGGAAGGTCATGGCTAAAGCCAGAGCAGTCATCACCTAGAAATGACAAGAGTGAAGTTATAAACCACACAAAAATCAAAAGAACGGATAAAATTGAGTTACAGTTCATTGTGATTCCATTCAAGGTTGAGGCCCAATATACAGTGTGACTACAGGCTGAGTATACCAGCAGATCCATTAATAATGTGCATATTGAATGTACAGCATTCACTTTTAGAACACTGAGGCTGTGAGTCTTAATTTTTACAGTAGTATAACTTCAAGAACTGCAATATCATTTCTCCTATTTTGCATTGATGCCTATATGAGAAACCTCAAATTGCCAGTTGAAGGGAAATATATCTAAACCAGGAAGGGATCCAATCTTATAAAGTTGAGACTCTCCTGGAAGACAATAAACACTGGCTGCACTCCCACAAAGTACTTAGAATTTAACAGGGGCATTCAAATACCATTAGACATGTGCTTAGCTGCACTGAGGCATTAGAGCAAATACTCTGTCATAGCATTCTATGACATAGAACTGAGTCCATTACAGGTGCCAGTTGCCAACATCTCGTTTCCATGTACACATCCCATGGGAATGGGTGCATCCTTCAAATAAAAGGGTGGAAGCCATTTTGGGGTGGGCAGGTAGCCAAATTCTGCCTTCATTGAAGGCTAAATGGGCTTGACATACAATGCAGACAGGAGAGACTACTGACTCAAACCAGAAAGGGAAGGAAGAATAGTTAATTGTAGTTCTGACAAATTTTTAATTTAGAATTTGTTACTCAAGCAATCCAGTGATAAATTTAGACATATCACTTTTTGTGTTTAATTTTGACCTAGATGAGACTGTAGCAGATGTGTAAGAAAGAAATTGAAGAAATGAAACCTTGATATCCTTCATCACAAATGCAAATGGCTCCAGTTGTGCAATATCCATGGCCACTGCAGAGCTTAGGGCACGCTTCCCCAATATACACGTGGTCAATCGCCCAGCTTTGCTTCTCTAGTTCTTCTCCCTTCTGAATCCACCTGAACTGAGTTGCACTGTAAATACCAAAATCCAAACACTGTATTAAGATATGTAGCAATTAAGCACATCTGTTCAGTGCTGTTCAAATACACTAGCAGCAGATGAAATGAAAAATGTCTTGTGAAAGGACTGTGATTTCAGTAACTGGAAAGGCCCACCCTGAATGGGTAGCTGCTATGTCACTGGCAGTAGCCAATTCTGTTAACAAAAAGCTTTCTGAAAAACATGAATTATGTGTCAGGTTTAAATCCAGCAATAAAGAAGCATTTTTAATTCACCAGTTGTTCCAAGCGAACAGTGCCAGCAAGACAGCTGGCACTTTGTAAGTCCACAATGAGCTGACCTTTCAGTAACCTACCTGGATGAGACATGATCAGGCAGCTGGATAGTTATTCTTCTCCACATGGAGCTGTTGACAGAGTTATAGATGGTAGCTTCGTGGAATTGAAATGGGGAGCAGCCAATACTATTAGATGAGGAAGGAAGACAGTGTGTCTGGACGAGCTGCCATGAGTCTGTCCTGTAGGAAACAAACAAAAAAATGATTTAGAACAACTGAAAGAATATTGAAAGGGAAGCCGGTCATGGCATTGCCCGTCTTATTAAACAAACCCAAGAGATTGTCAGTAATAGTTTCCATACTCATTCTGTAGACACAACTAGACAAGAAGTGAGAGGCTGAAGCACTGCTGCAACCAGGGAGGTCTTTACAGCATCAGGTTTTCATGCTGTGAAGCCCTTGATGATGGTACACACAGCAGAGTCCCAAAGCTCGTCTGGTTTGGCATGACAGAAGGAACTATTCAGGAGTCTCTTCCTTAGTCTCTCTCTTACAGTATTCAAAAGAGTCCCAACAGAATATGCTTCATGTTCTCCTACAATCATTTCAGCACAGAATATGCCTTCACTTTTATAAACTATAATGCACTATTATACAGCCACACAGGATACAGTGTTATTAA